ATTGTATGCAAGACAATGCTCTAGGAGAAAGTAAAACCGATGAACAGGTAATGCTTTATTGTTTTTGTGTACGATGTGAACGATTGAACATGATTTTTAAATGTCAGTTATGATTTTGGACGTGTTTTTTTGGTATTCAACTTGAAAGGATTGCTGCAATGTTTGGTTGTTGGTGATTCTTCAAACTTAGTGATTCTTAGAGATTCAACCCCACATTATGCCAGATTTGTCGTGAGCTTTCTATTATAATAATTCTATTCCGTTCATGAAACTGGAAAAATAACGAGAATGTTTCTGTGGAACATATATAGTGAGAATGAGAGACATACAACAATAGAGCTTGATGAATCAATCAACATTTCACTTATCCATTCACATGATATCATTTAATATGGTTGCCTTTATGGCGCTGATATTTTATTTCTCATGAACGAGCACTTGGATATTTTCATGACATTTCGTTGGTTCATTTGGATTTAATATTTGAACAATTCCTATGGGTTTAGGTTATGTGTTCATGTGTATTCGGTGAATTTTGATCGTTTCAGTGATACACATCAATCTTTATTTTATTGTCATCAGCAATATTTTGAACGTTCTGATAGTTACACTTACTGATGAGTTATTCACAACCAAAAAATAGTACATTTTGTTATTTATGATGATGTATGTATGCGTATACATATATATTTTATGCAGTGAACTTTTAAGCTATGACGTATAGACTTATTGTATATTAACGGTGTTGTGAATTTAAGAGTCGTCGTGTGCCATACACGATGCATGGCGTGTTGCATTATCTACAGCACGAATGGAGTCGATACGAAATGGAACGTTCACAGTGGGAAATGGAAAGAGCCGAGCTGCAGGTTGCACACTTTTTTATTACTTGCAAGTTAATATCGTATGAGCTCCATTGCCCATTTGCTGTTGAGTTAGTTTTATGGAAAAGACGACGAAAAAAAGCATACACTTGCGTTAATGTGTGTTAGTTGATTTGATGATGAAAAGAAATGATCGTAATGTTTGAGGCTCGCATAAGTTTCTTACAAGGTGAACGTAAGGGACAGGAGAACCTGAAAGCGGATTTGATTCGCAGGATCAAAATGCTCGAATATAGTTTGAAGCAGGAGAGGTGAGTTCTTGTTGCTTTTATTTCAGTCGTTCAAAACTTGATTTTTGTTTTGTTCCCGTTGATTCTTCATTTTCGTTGATTATTTGTTCTTTTGTTGGTGAACAACGAG